TCTGCATATGTGTACTTAAAGGAGTTGGACAAACATCTATGTGATGCTTCGCAAACTAGTTCATTGATCTTTAAACATTATAACTCCATAATCTTATAAAATGGGTAACTAGGGGCTGGAGCGATAGCACAGCGGGTAGGGCGTTTGCCTTGCACACAGCCAACATGGCCGACCCAGGTTCGATTCCCAGCATCCCATATGGTCCCCCGAGCACCGCCAGGAGTAATTCCTGAGTGCATGATCCAGGAATAACCCCTGAGCATCGCCGGGTGTGACCCAAAAAGCAAAAAAAATAAATAAATAAAAAATTAAAAAAAATAAAATGGGTAACTACCCACACATTACAAATTAACAGTAAAAATATTTCATTAAAAATGGAATTGTTTTCAGTTTGTCTGTCGAGTTGGCTATAAATACCTGCCTACCAAAATATTAATAAGCAAAACTGACATTCAGAAAATTTGTTTTTAAATATATTATTATTATTATTTTAATCTGATTTTAAGTTTCATCTGCTTTCCTGTTTGCAAGATACAATCTTGACATAAGTCCCATCCTCCCTGCCAAATTTCTGAAGGAATCTAGCTCAGGAAATTACCTTGCTATGTTTATACTATCTTCTTGAAGAGAGAAATAGGATCCATACATATCCCAATTGTCTTTCTTTGTGTCTCAGCATTCTATACATTTTTCTCAACTCCTACCATCATTCATAATGATAAGCATCATAATTATATGCTAGGTCTACTGAAAAGTTTGCAGTAGCAGTTTATTAGACAATTCTGAAATATCTCAAAACTCACTTTTAAAGTATGTCTCAATTTATGAAAATTTCCAAAATGTGAAACCTCAAATGACCCACTTAGAGACACTGCAAAAAAAGATAAAGAAATCTAACTGATTCTCCAACCCCACCTACTCTTTCATGAAAACACTTACTTCCCACGGCCAAGCAGCTACACAACACACGTTTAAGATGAGATCAACTAAGAGAGGTATGTTTTTCTATTATATTTAGTCTCACTGTCTCCTAAAAGGCTATGTTTCCCAGAAAGATTATTTAAACCTTGAGTAATGTGCTCTGGTGACTTCCTGAAAACAGTAACATCACAAACAGTAACAAAAATTATTAAGGTTTTCAGATTCTAAAATCTGACTTCAAGCTATATTTACAAACTAGAATTAAATTACATAATCTATCGTGCTGCTTATTATAGCTAACTCTCATTCACCAGCCACAGTTCTAATTATAGAATGCCCGGTGCTAAACTAAAACAATATGATTAATAGACTGGTTGTTTTCCCTATAACCTTCAGATGGGATGTCCAGGGACAGCCATGTTTGAGAATCCCCATCACGAGTCTATATATCCATCATGTGCAGATGTATAGCACAATGGGAACTCTGAAAGCAAGGTTATATCTTCCAAGACTAATGAGAGTCACTACATAAAATTTATTGTGGCACTCATGTTACAATAGGATATTTTAGAACAAGGGAAAATTCACAGTGAAATAAATATTCTTATTTGTTTAAACATGATGTAACACAAAGCAGTAAGTTAAGTCTTCAGGCATTTCCAGCAAAATATGCCAGAAAAGTCCTGGTGTACTGCATAAAGGAGAAAAATCAACAAAATCCTCTTTACAAAACCTGTTTTCTAGTTTATAAAGCAAGATTATTTCTACAAAGACATACTCTGTAATGAAAACAGCAATTATTTTGGAAATCATTTTCTGAGATGTGAAAAATATTTTTCACAGGAAAATATCCCAATATTTGATGCTGAATGCTCAAGAAAACATAGATTTGCAGGGCTTCTATTGTGGGTGACATAGAAATAATTAAGTAAAACAAAAAAAAAATTTAAATTACTCTGCATTGGACTATGTGGTTGCTTTTTATGTTTTTGTTTCTAGTGTTAACACAAAAGGGGGGAAAAAGAGTTTTGTTTAAATTTTAAAATGTTAAAATATCTTACTCCTCATTTAACCTGTACAATTTGTCTGAAATCTAGTAGCTATCAAAACTAAGAACATAAGATAAGTCCAAGAAAATAGCATGCTGACCCAAGAAGTAAAACACTGCAAGTTTTAGAAAATAAAATATCTGGATTTAGACATCCCACAGCCATCACCATGTAAAAAAGAGCCCAGCTTCACAGCTTCACAACTAATCTTGGAAGACACGCAAGTTAAAACTCACAGCAAGTAAAAACACACATCAGGGTGAAAATTCTGAAGTGCCCTCAGGAGAGTGGCAGTCCGAGTCCCTGCCCTGCCAATGCCTTGGCAGCCGCACCCACATGCCATAGCTGCCACCCTGAAACAGCCCAACTTCACTGCTTCACCGCTAATCTTGGAAGAGATGCAAGCCACTTTGGATGGCTGAAACTCATTGACCCGGTTCTAGAGATCCTGGATCTCTCGGAGTGACACCTCTAAACTCCACAGAACTGACAGGCCATTAGGAACGGAGCAAATTAGATAAGAAAGTAGAAGAACAGTCAACTAAGCTCAATAAATAAAAATTTAGTAACACAGAAGGCTCAATACAATAAGCAGCTTAGTAAATCCTCTGACGATGCTTTTAGTGACCCCCTGGTAAGATTAACAACCATCATAAATTTTCTTTTAGTAAAGAATTTTTTTTGATAATCCCATTAGTTATTTTGTTATGACAAGCAATATAAATTATTTTGTGCCTGCTAAGGGGGAAAGTTAAAGCAGGTAGGGGAGAGGGGAGGGACTGGGGACAATGGTGGAGAGAAGGTCACAGTGGTGGGAAGGTTGGTGTTGGAACATCAAATACCCAAAACAAATGTAGATGAATAACTTTGTAAACCATGGTGTTTAAATAAAAGTTTAAAAATTAAAAAACAAAATAAAAAGCTAGCTCTACCCCTTCTATCTGGAAGAGCTTTGGGAAATTCCTTTTGCTCTTGGTTTGCTTAATCTTCTGAAAATTAATTTGAGCTCTATTATTAAAATTATAGGTATTCTCTATGAAGCCCTGAGCACAGTAACTCACTTTTAGAAGACACTGATCAGATACTCTCTTTCTCTAAAAAGTCGTAGTGCCACTGTTTATTCACCTCTGTAATTATTTGACACATAAAAGCTAATACGTGATAACCTTGAACAAGCAGGGAGAAATAAAAACAAATTCCCAATATGCTAGCTGCCAAATACTTCAGCAGTAAACTTATTTTTTAAAGTACAGGCTTTAAGTGAAAACGCCTTAAATAAAAATATTTGGGAAAAGCTCAAAATCTCACATCGTGGACTTAAAAACAACTAGAAAACTCTCAAGGTTTCCTAGAATTTGAATGCCCAGATGTAAAATGAAGTATTTCAGAGGATCTTCTTACTGATCATCACCAGAGCCAAAAGAGTGTGTTGGCAGTTCCAGTCAGGGAACCTCAGATCTTATTAACGCAACCTCAAGCCGGTACCTCACTCAACTCGTATTTCAAAGATCTTGGGTATTAAAATTCATAACCCATCTCAGAGCTGAAACAGTCTCATTACTTTCATCAAGAATCATGCTTCAAATTTTTATTTCAGAAAAGTAAACATCCAATTATTTAGGATCTAAAATACTAGCGAGAGTAAATTTGTTTGAATAATTAACTTATAAATTCACACTCAGAACTTTTGGTCAGAGTTTTTTGAGGGGAGAAAAGAGAAACTCAGGTTGCCCAGGGCTCCTTCTGGGGACTCTCAATCCGCGGGCAGTTCAAAGTTATAACCCAGCGCTTCTTGGACCAGGAGTCACCCAGACAGCCCTAGAAGCACACAAGGGTCCCATAGCCCTCCGGGTCTACACCAGCAGTGCTGAGAGGTGTCTAAGGCTGTCTAAGGCTATACCTGCTGATACTCCAGTGGCATGTGGTGCCCAGGATTGAGTGAGGGTCAGCTGCATGCAATACATGCACCTGAATCTCGGTACTCTCACTCAAGTCTCTGCACATGAAACTTTTTACTAAGAATTTCCTTTAAAACAAACTTGTACTAGTATATAAAGCAAAGTGCTTGGCAATAATCATAATTGTCTTTCTATGCTTCTACTTGAAATAATTTTCTGTTTGACTATGGCCTTAATGATATTTAAGAGCAAAAGTAAATTTCTTATATATTTTAAGACTACTTTCTATTTTGCTTATCAAATTGTATTCTAAAATCAAAAATGCCACACTGCTTAACCATCAATAAAAGGTATTCTTAATTACTATTAAGTACATTTTAAACATCAGTTACACTTTAATTTATAATATGGTAAAGAGAAAATATTCAGTATATCTGTGCTCAATTTTAGTATTTCAAGAAATACATTTATTTAAATATCCAGAAATAATCGAAAGGCCTACAGATAGCATAGTTAAAATTAAGTAATGTTTACGAAAGATTCTCACTCAGCTGTTTTCACTCGGTATGATCTGGGACTCCATTCTGCCTAAAAATCATATTAAACTCAACCAGTCCTGTATTTGCTTCTCTAGTTCTCTCAAGTTCCTATACCAAGGGTATCTAATTTGTCTAAGCTACCAGTGGCTCACACTAGAATCAGGTTTAACACAAACTGCAGCTCCAGAATGAATGTATTAATTTAAATTTATCTTTGCTCGCCCAAGCTAAATACAAAATGCTTGTATTGCTACTTCTTTTAATTTTACAATTTGATAGTATTCCAATATACCACTTATCAAAACTTGTAAGATCAATAGTGCCCACAGGGTGATGCAAAATGTCCTTCACAAAGGCTGGACATTCAAGCCCAACCTTCTCAATTCCTTTGTCTCTACCACTAACTCATTCAAGTGCGTATGGTCTCTTGGCCTTCACTTCTAATACACTAAATTTTCTTAAAATCCATTCATAATTTGTCACTACTATATCTCTTAAATGATAGATAAACACACTGTCAAGTAATGCATTTGAGAATCTCTGCGTGAAATCTGTGGCATTTCCTACTTTGTACAATCCTAACCAATACATACCTATGTCATATGCCAGGAAATCGGCAGAAAAACATTTTGCACCGTTACTCAAGGAAGTGTCATTATGGGTATTTCCTCCAAAAATAAGCATAGCTCCATTGATAAGAACAGCTGAATGAAGATATCTGGCAAACCCACTTTCTTTCAAAATAGTCCTACAGGATAAAATTTAAAAATGCATTACATAGGATAAAAATATCTCCCTGATTTTATATGTATCATATAAAGGATCTAATCTGCATATAGAATGTTACTGAAAATTGCAAAAATAACATGATTTATTCATTAACAAATTAAATGATTTATAAAGTTTAATAATTTTAAAATATTTGAGATTTGTTCCGCCACAAAACGCTTGGGGAAACACAGTATTAAATACAGTATCTTAATAATTTATATTTTGATTATTTTTTCATTTACAAAAAGAAGTAGTTTCCTCAAAACTACCGTACCTAAATCCCATGAACATTAATAACCATAGAAAAACAAAAAGTCAAATATAATAAATTTAATCTAAAATGCATTCAAACGATAGAACTCACATGGATCTTGAATATGCTTCTTAACCATTTATATAAAAATAACAAGATAAAAGTACATTTAAAACATGATACACTTTTTTACATGACACATTTTCACAAAATGGGCAAAACTAAGTAACTGACATCTAGACACTTGGTTTGTAAAAGTTTTCAATGAAAACTTTTTTCACAATTTTCATTCTAACAGCAAAGATTTGTGTTGCTCTCTTTTACAATAACATGAAATCACATCAATTGCATTTGTATATGCAATCTTTGGCTCAAGATCGTTTCTGCAATATATCCATAGCCTATTATAACTGGAAATCAGAACACATTTTTCAGAAACATTAAAATATCAATATAATTTTAAAGCGTGACTGAGAAACACAACTGTAAATTTATCCTTACAACCATATTTCTGAATAAAATTGTATACAGTGAAGGTACATGATATTCGGAATCAATATTTCATAAATACTCTACATAAAACCCTAATAAGAAGAGAACCAGAAAATCCACACAGTAAATACAGTATATATGATAGCATATAAGACATAAGGGCTAGAGCGATAGCACAGTGGTAGGGCGTTTGCCTTGCACGCAGCCAACATGGCCGACCCGAGTTCGATTCCTCCGCCCCTCTCTGAGAGCCCAGCAAGCTACCGAGAGGATCTCGCCCACACGGCAGAGCCTGGCAAGCTCCCCGTAACGTATTCGATATGCCAGACACAGTAACAACAAAGTCTCCAATGGAGACGTTACTGGGCCCGCTCGAGCAAATCGATGATCAACGGGAGGGCCTTTACTTTTACAAGACATAAATTTTAATACCAATTAATGCTTGAAGAACATGATGCTGACTTCCAGGTATTAGAATTCCACAAATACTACCCAATGTCAGGAAAAGACTTTAATTGGTAAAATTTATTTTGTATACTCCTATTAAAGTTTGAAATTTCACCAAAAGCAGTAATAAAGATTCACTCAAGAACTGTTATTACACATCAAGAATAGAAACAGTCACTAAGAACTGGCCTGCTACATGTTCTCATTCTCCTCCAAATATTCACACACACACACACACATACACACACTGAGTTCAACAAAACAGAAATTCAATCACATGAAAGTAAGTGAAAAACTCAGAACACCTTCATTCTTAAATCCCTAATTCAGATCAATGAACTTCAACTACAATAGGTCAACAGCATTCCATCTTATCCTCCTAGTTTTGTTGAAGCTCGACTCAAAAAGCAAACATGAGAGACCTGAATCCTTCTTCCCTTCATCCCCCCACTCACAGGGGATGGTACATGATGGGTCTCATATACTTAAGAATACAGGAGCTGAGAAGTCTTAGCCCCATGTCACGAAGAGCGTGGCTAAGAAAGGCTGAGCTAGAGTACTTGTTCCAGGGAGAGTATTAGCGAAGGACACTGGGTAACTCTGAAATAGCATCAATGTCAATTTCTTATTCTTTATTTTTTTATTTTTTATTATTTCAGTGATGTAAAATCATTTATGAGAAAAGAGGATACTGATTCTAAGGGGAGAGAGAGAGAAAGAGAGTGTGTGTATGTATATGTGTGTGTGTGTGAGAGAGAGAGAGAGAGAGAGAGAGAGAGAGAGAGAGAGAGAGAGAACAAAGTGAAAGAAATCCATGCCCTTTAAAAGCCATGGGCAAGCCCAGAATGGAATGCTATAAAGCATAGCTTACAAACCTTCTTCCCCCGTGGACTGGTACCTGACCTGCATGGAGCCGTGGTTATCATCAAGGCGTGAGATGAATGCTTCTGAACCGGTCTATACTTATGGCCCAGCACCAGCCAACAGACTGGTGGTTAAAGACGGCAACTCTAAAGGCACAGTCACACATCTGGTCAGGGAACAGGTGACCCTGGGCTGGAATGCCTCTGCTGTTATTTTTCAAGAGGGCCCACCCCTAGAAAAGTTCAGGCACCTACAAGTGCTGATACTGGGCACAGTGGTGCAGAGCTAGTGTTAGTTGCTCAAGGCCATAAGGCTCATACCTGGAAGTGCTTGTGGCCCATGAAAGATGACACCTGGTCGAGGTGGAAGGGACAGGGCAGGGGGCAGGAGGGCAGGCAGAGCCAGGAGCTAGACATGGACCGCACGCACATTAGGCTGCTTCTGACACATGAGCAAGCTCCCAGCCTTCCTTTCTTTCTCATGAATTTTACAAATAGTTACTATAATACAGTTTGAAAGTTTTTATAAGGACACACTTGTAAAACTGTACTGCTGGGCCTCTAAAATGTAGACATGTCATCTACTTGACAATAATAACAGTGCTTGGAATAGACAAAAGCAAAGCTCAGTTAAGGCAAGGAAATAATGCTAAAATCTCTGTATCACTGTATCACTGTCATCCCACTGTTCATCGATTTCCTCGAGCAGGCACCAGCAACGTCTCCATTTGTCCTAGCAAGTGCCACATTGGAGGCACTTTCAGGGTCAGGGGCATGAGACCCATCATTGTTACTGGGTTTTGGCATATCGAATACACCACGGGGAGCTTGCCAGACTCTACTGTGTGGGCAGGATACTCTCGGTAGCCTGCCGGGTTCTCTGAGAGTGAGAATTAGACAACCCAATGCTAAATACAAAAGAAAAATCAAAAGACATAGAAAGGGTACTCTCCTTTCTACCCAGTGTCTATGTAAAACATAAAACTATATGAAGTAATGTAACTGCTCTCACAGTGATACAATAAATAAAATTATAAAAAAAATAGTAAATAATAGTTAAAAAAAAGTAAGGTAGAGTTCATACCCAATTCAATCAGCTAATCAGGCCCTCCTGTTGATCGTCGATTTGCTCGAGCAGGCGAAGTAACGTCTCCATTGGAGACTTTGTTGTTACTGTGTTTGGCATATCGAATACTCTCGGTAGCTTGCCGGGCTCTCCGAGAGGGGCGGAGGAATCGAACTCGGGTCGGCCATGTTGGCTGCTTGTAAAGCGAACGCCCTACCACTGTGCTATCGCTCCAGCCCATCAGCTAATCAGTGGCTGAATAAATAGCAGTACTCCTACATTAAAAAAAAAACTATATGAAGTGAAAGTATAACAATTCATAGTTGAATTTGTAACATATATATATATATATATGGTGGTATATGGACTACTACAAGAAAGACAAAACGAAGGTATATCTCTAAGTATAATATTCCTACAGCTCTTTGTTTGTCAAAATGTAAAGTGTTTTCTAAGTTAATATATATATAATAAATTGTCTGAGATCAACACTGAGAAAAACGAAAATAATTCTACTAAAAATAAACCATTGTGGTGAGAAATGTACACTGGTGATAGGAGGGGTGTTGGAACATTATATGACTGAAACCCAATCATGAAAAACTTTGTAACTGTGTATCTCACTATGATTCATTTTTTTAATTTTAATTACTTAATTTTTAAAAATAATTAAAGATATTAAAATACACAAGAAAATATTCACTAATGCAAACAAAAAATAGAATAACAAATAAATATAAGACATAATGAATAAAAGAACAAAAAATGAAAGGCGAAAATTTAACCAAATCACTACATGGAAAGTATCATGCTAAGCGAAATGAGTCAGAAAGAGAGGGACAGACATAGAAAGATTGCATTCATCTGTGGAACATAAAGTAACAAAATAGGAGACTAACACCCAAGAATAGCCGAGATAAATACCAGGAGGTTTACTCCATGGCTTGGAGGGCAGCCGCACACTCTAGGGGTAAAGGCAGCTCAAATAGAGAAGGGAGCACCAAACGAAGGGTGTTGGGAAGATCCTCCCAGGATGGGAGATGCATGCTGAAAGTAGACTATAGACTGAACATGATTGCCACTCAATTTCTCTTTTGCAAACCACAGCACCCAAAAGGAGAGAGAGAACAAAAGGGAGTGCCCTGCCACAGAGGCAGGGTGAGATGGGGGGTGGGTGGGGGGTAGGAGGGATACTGGAACCCGTGGTGGTGGAAAATGGGCACTGGTGGAGGGATGGGTACTTGATCATTGTATAACTGAAACCCAAGCACAAAAATTTGTATTCTACAACTGTACCTCATGGTGTTTCACTAATAAAAAATTTTTTTAAAAATTTCACCAAATCAAATCTAACATTAAATTTAAAATATATATAAATAAATTTGTAATACGTATATTATCTAAATATATAAAATAATGCTATTATGTATAATTCTGACACCTAACAAGACACCCCAAAATAAATATAGAAACTAATAAATATAGAAACAAAAATCCTCAAAAAATACTATCAAATCAAAAACAAAAAATATATAAAGAATAATTATAAATCACAATCAAGTAGAATTTATACCAAGGAATGCATTGTTGGTTTGACACCTAAACTCAAAGTAATATACCATATCAAAAGAAGAAAGAGGAAACTAGTCATCTGGGTAAATGTGATTTAGTTTTTGACAAAATCCAACATTTGCATACTAAAACAATCAACAAAGCTTGTGCTCTACCCCAAAAGATTAAGTACTCATCTTAATCCCTAGAACCCGTAAATATTTTTAGTTGAAAAAATATTCTTGCATATGCAATTAAATGAAGGCTCTCAAAATTAGAAGACCACCCTTACTATTTAGTGAATA